AATTGAAATTTGTACATCAATGTAAAAAACACAAGTAACAAAGATTATTCAAATTATTCGAATAAATCATTACAATGACATTATATGCATTAATTATAGAGAACAAAAATGGATGATATTTGTTTAAAAAAAAAAAGTTCCTTATTACCGTCATCTTCGTTTCTATTGTCAACAGATCTCTTCACAGCCAATTTCAATGGTTTTACGAGCAAAACGGAAAGCGTCATTGTTTCACAAGTAGAAATCCATGCATAGAAAGGAACAAAAATGTCAAGACTTATATTTGTATGTATATTTGTTCCATTTTGCTACGCGACCTTTTCCACTTTCGACCAAGAAGAAGAAGAAGAAGAAGAAGAAGAAGACGGTGATTTCGTTCTTGAAGATTATTGTTAGGACTGATCTCCGTTGTTTGATTGTACACGAAAATCGGTCGTTTCATTTTTCAAATTTGTCATTGCATTGGACTGTTGTTGTCCAAGCTCCTTTTCTCATCATGCATCGACTTCTTCGTTACCTTTTTTATAAACTTCTTTGTAAACCAATTCTTCCATTTGAATTCGAAGTAACATTCTTCGATCGGCCGGTAAATTTCTCATGTGTGGTAAAAGACTCATGAAGAAATAATAAGTATCATCAAAACGATTACCTTCCAAAGGATCATTCGTTAATCCATTACCATTATCGCTCTCACCCATCAATACTTGTTCAGGTGATATATTTTGCAACATCATTTCATCGTCCGCTAAATTATCCGTCACATTTTGAAACTCCAAATTATCGAAGTTCTCTTCTGGTTCTTGTTTAACATCAACTCTATGATCGATACCTTCGATTTGCAACGTACCATTTTCACAGCTCATTGACAACAATTGATCGGCCAAGGTATCCCTGTCGTCCATATTTCTTTTCAATGGTGTACCATTCTTGGTCAACATTCCTTCCGATTCGTTTTCTCCTAATCCTTGATCCCCATCCATACCTGCTGCTTTTCCACGTTCCCAAATCGGTGGTCTTGGAAGCATTTGTTCCTTCAAAAATTGTAAACTCTTGAAATGAATCCATACTGGTCTGTTGCGATGATATTTACTTCTTCGAAAAAATTTATCTTTCTTAAGCTCGGCACGAAACGTGTCCCGGAGACCTTTCCATTTAGCCTTTAATACTGGTTCTGAAAGAAACGACAAAATATATTCCAATTAGAAGTCATTCTTTTGAGGATGTTTCAATTGAATTTGCGATTAATGTAAAATACAAAATTACGAAACAAATTTTGGTAAAAATTATTTCAAAATTATAAAAAAAAAAAAGAAACGAGAGCTTGACGAACTGAATTATTTTCTAACACAATATTTGTGTAGGTGTAGGTTTACTATTTTGTTATACCTGTTTTGTCTACCTGTTATACTATCTGAAAACCCCTAACATCTTATGTATTAAGGGTCTAAAGGTCCCTTTTCTTTTTTATCTTTTATACATAGTACATAAAACTGTATTTTTGTGAATGCAGTATAATAAAAGAAAAAAGTGAAAGTAAGCTAAAAATATTTTCTAGAAAATATTAGGAATTCTAATAAAGAAAATATCGACAAATATTTATTAAAAATTTCACTTGAAACTAGTTGGGTCTGTACCTTTAGCTATCCTTTATTATTGACCTAAGCGTAACCTGCGCATGCGTACTCTCATCGTAGCGAGTCGCGCCTTTACAACTTGAGTTGTCTCGTATCGCAATAGTATGATCGATACGAGATACTTGGTGATCGGTTTCGTTCGATTTATTAACAAAGAAAAATATCTTCGAATTTAATTGGTGTGTATTAAACTCGTCATTAATTCAAACTATGCGAGAAAAATAGAATGAATTTAATATTACAGTTTGAATAACAATCTCTAATTTGATTTTTACAAACTCATTGTCTTTCGCATACGTTACTCGATATTAAACAAAATAGTGTTTTATGACGATTACGAGGATAATCACCTAAAAAAAAAAGTCATTAACAAGAAAAAATAAACAAAGTAAATATAGAAATATTAAATTTAAAATAAGGTACATGCTAAAAAGTGAGGTTAAGCCGGTACACGATGCGTATGAGCGAGTACGCGACGGTTCGCCACTGTGGAGCCACCACCCCTTTTCGCGTACTACTACACCTTTCTCTTTCTTATCCCACTTTGTAGGGAATATCGCTAGGCAATATAAATTCCTAAAATACAAACAGAAAATAGAGAAAAAAAAACTAGAAAAGAGATTTAATATTTATACGGAGAGAATTAAAAAAAAAATCGATTTATTGGATTACTTCAAAAGAAGAAGAAGAAGAAGAAGCAAGGGACAAAGTTACTTCAAAGGGAGGGGTGGGGGAAATCGCTCGTAGGTCCAATTTATGCGAGTAAGAGAGAAAGAGAGAGATAAAGTTAAAGAGATTAAATAAAAAGAAAATAAACAAGAGTAATGCAAGGAACGAAAAGAGAAAAAGAGAGAGAGAGAGTGAGAGACAGAGAAAGAGAGACTTCTTTGAGATTTAATACACGCACTGGGAAGCTTGAAGATCGCTGCTATTTCCATCCAAACGCGGTTGGTTACTTCTCGATTATGATAGGATATGTGTCTCTGGTTCCAAAGCGCGGGTCGTTTATAAACTTCGGCGATGAGCCGATTCGCGTCCATCTTTACTTCGTCCTTCATTTCCCTTAACAAGTAGCGGCAGTGGTGGCGGCGGCGATGGTGGTGGTGGTGGTGGTGAAGATGTTGTTGTTGGGTCTCTCTCTCAACAAAATGACTAATTGTAATTGGTAGAATAGATATTTTTAAATTGACAATGCAATTTGAAAATGATAGGAATTATAAAGAAAAATGTTGTAAAAAAAAGAATTTTTCAAAAGAGAGAAAGATAAAGAAAGGGATAATAAATATATAGATATACACGGAGCGACAAACCGACAACGACAAAGTACGGGCGAATACTAGCGTCGGGATAGCGATTAGCGCGCAGGACGTTCTCACGGACGCTGGACGATCGATTCGCCGTTTCGTTCTTGTCTCGGCTCGCTAGCGCTAGCACGACTTCTCGCATCTTTTCTATCCTCTTCTTCTTCTTCTTCTTCGTCTTCTTCTTACTTACTTATATACTATGTACATATATACTTATATAGAAGAGAATGAGAAAAGAGTAATATCCCACTTTACAATTAGTTGTTTATTCTATGAAGTTTCTCTTATGTTAAGAACACTTCCTAGGATCAACCAACTTATTTGTTTTATTTGATTCTAATTTTCTGAAATTTAAACTCTTTAAAATTAAGCATACCCTCCTCCTAGTAGCACAAAATATTGTAAAATATTGAATACATGTGTATTTAATCTTAAATAGACACATTGAATCTCTTTTTAACATTAATTACACATCTATTCAATATTTTACAATATTTTGTAAATACTAGGGTAGATCATGTTTGAATATAATTTGAAAGATATCCTAGAAAAGTTCTTATATTCTCTGACGAACTAATTTTGTTTTAATTTTACTTTAGACTTTTAAATGAACTTTTCAATCTAAAGTATTTATTACAACGTAAAAGAAAACTTAGAGAGTCGTATGTCCTATGATAAACTTTCTTGAACAAAAACTGACTTGTTTTTTATGATTTGTAGATTTCAAAATGATTAAATGTAAATCATTTTTTCTTTATTTCATAAAGATAAATCTTTATTGAGAATTTATCTTAAGATAAATGCTACTTCTCTTATGTAATGAACTGGTTTATTTCTTATTATTATGATAAATTAATCGCACTTATGTATATGCAGGATTGTATATTCGTTACAAGGAACAACAAAAATCATGCATAATTTTGAATTAATATCGCAAGGTGCCGAAGCCTGTCTTTACAAAGGGACATACTTAGGTAAACCTACCATAGTTAAAGAAAGATTTGTCAAAGGTTATAGACATCCGGATTTAGATAAACGTTTAACAAAAGATAGAATAAAAGCTGAGGCACGTGCTATTGTTCGTGCTAAATCTGCAGGTAAATATTAATTTGATTGTATTGATTTCTTTAACTAATTTCCTTTGTTTTCCTTTTGTATCAAAGGCATACCAACACCTGCATTATATTTAGTTGATTTGAATCGTCGCAGCATTTACATGGAATATATGGAAAATACTATAGTTTTAAAACATTATATAGATGAAAATGTATCAGATAAAGTTAATGTAGAACACATTATTAAGTTTATAGGAGAAGGATTAGGTTTACTTATTGCTAAACTGCATATGAAGAATATAGTCCATGGTGATTTGACGACTTCAAATATTCTTTTGAAAAATATTTCAAATGAAATGTGGACTGAAGAGAAAGATGGTAATGTCTTGAAAGTTTTTATGTAAAAAAAAAAAAAATAAAATAAAAGAAACAAGAAGAACAACATTTGTATTAACATGAATTTTTCTTTTTTTCAGCATTAAATCATTTTGTTATGATTGATTTTGGATTGGCACGAATTGATTCAACCGTAGAAGATAAAGCGGTTGATATATATGTTCTTGAAAGATCTTTGCTTAGTGCTCATTCTGAAGTACCTACACTTTTTCCATTAATTTATGAGAGTTATCAAAAACATTATACGAATAAAACTCATTGCAAGGAGATAGTTAATAAATATGAAGAAGTAAGAGCACGTGGACGTAAACGATTAATGATTGGCTGACCATTAATACAATTATTTTTAATAAAGAATTATTGCTATACATACGAATGAAATTTTTTGTCTTATTTTTACAAATGTAAGTATTTGTTTAGAAATTTCAAAAGAAGTACTTGCATTTATGAGTTTTATTTGTTAAAATTTGTATACTTTGTCTTTCTTATAACAATAAAAATATATTTTTATTAACAAACGTTCGACTTATTCAACTGCGAAAGTTGATATATTAAGAAGAAACTAGTTTAATATAGATGTTTAATATGATAAAAAGATTTGTATACGTATAATTCATTTTTGTATAACAAGTATTATCTACGGTTAACAAATTGTGAGAAGATATTATTTTGTATAATTAATAAAATAATACCTTTCTTTCTTTCTTTTCGTAGAAACACCATTAATACATTCCAGTGTTATATATAGAAAATGTATGCTTATAAAGTCAAGCATATGCAAATATAGAGCACTTTCCAGTAGCGAATATATCAAATGATTTTACACTTACAATTTAATTCGATTTTCAGTCCAAGTGTGTATCACTTTTTATTCCTAAATCAGTCAAAATGTAGCCCAGAATATATGATGATCCACGTTACCTGTAAATAATTATAATTCAAAATGTAAATCACGTCGATGTCAATGAGTTTAATTAATTTTTATGAAATAAATTAATATACCAAGAAACCAGCAAACGAAGTCATAAATCCTTCTTTAGTTAATTCCCATATACCACCATATTCTTCTTCATCGATTTGCTGAAAACTGTTGAAATAAAGATACATAACACCTGCGTTGACTAGTACAAATCTGAAAAATAGAATAAACAATACAATGTATTACTAATCACACATATTAGAATACATTGAAGATAATTCTGTACAGTTTTGACTTACAATAATAGAGCTATAAATCCTTTTAAAGGTATAAGACCCCATCCTATACCAACGATAATACCGATTGCTTGTCTGGCCCAATAAACAACATCGAGAAATTCTTCCTGCATAAGTAATAAATATTAGTATTCATAAAGATTATGATTATGCATAAGATGACATATGAGTTATCAAAAATAAGGTTATATTTACTTTATCTGGCCATTCTGAATTCGCTGTTATTGCACGTGTCCAAACACTTAATTCGCACTTGTTGCTATTCCCATTTTTTTCTGACTTTGATCGTGACATATTTGATTGAAACTTTTCACTTAAAAAATGACTTTTAAATCAACAACCATCAAAATCATGTGTTAAGCGCGCTAGTCACACGCTCTTTTTGGTTCCACGTTTTATGTCGGTACTTCCGTACTTTTTCTCTGCGCATCAGTTTACGCAACACATTCTTCAACACATGTAATCTGTTTTTACTAGATACTATCATACCAAAATTTATAAAATCATTTAATACTGAAGCGCCATATAATTGAATTTTTACACGAGCGAAAGATAAACTTCGGCCATAACCCCTAATTCGTAAAGATAATACAATACGCTAACAGAGATTATTTGTTCGACCAATCACATTCGATGGCGCGTAATTGTCATATTTTTGAATATCAAATTTACAATATGAATCAGATATTAATCGGATTTACAAATTTACAAAGAATTAAAGGAATATTTATAATATTAAAGTTAATAAATCATTAAAAGAATAAATGAAATAATTAAATAAAGAATATTTGTTGTTAATTGACTATGTTGTCTTAATGCAATATTCAAATAATCATAATTCTTTTCATAATTTATACATAGATGAGAGTTTATTCATTGGAGGATTATATCTTTATGATTACTAAATATGTTATATGCATATAAAGTTGCTGATACAGGAATGTATTTGAGTAAAATATATAAATATATCACACATGCACCATCATACGCACAGGGGCATACTGAGTCAGTTGTTTTGCTTAAATATTTACATTAAACCACTTTCATGTTGCAGGTGAATTTCTTATTATTTTTTTTCAGATCTACAATAGTTATTATCTAACTTAGATTCGTATATCTTCGTCACTTGTTCTTTCAGTTTTAAAAAACAAGATCAATTGCTGCTATTAATTTGGCAACGCGTAACAAAACTACTGAATTCTATTCATAATCAATTTTCAAAAATTTCTAATGCCAACGTTTATCCTTGTTTTCTCTTTTTTTTTTTAAACTATGAGTTTCACCATTTTCGATTGAATATTGCACTGCATATTCTAATATAGTTCTAATAGTACAAAAGATCACCTGTAACATGACATGCAAAATTTTGTATTAACTTGCATAATACATTACACACACAAACATGACTGAATGTTATTTTTATAATTATATTATATATATATTATATATATCCTTAGATTTTACTGTCTCTCTCTAAAAGTATCATTATCAAATATTTTATTAATTATCTAATCTTTATCATATTGATTTACATTCATATAATAATAGGTCATAAAATTTAAATATGGAATGTGTTATTGGCATATATTCTGTGGTTGAAAAAACGTAATTTGAATAAAACAGCTACAGGAGGAGAGTTTCTTTCTTGATTTTTTTTTTTTAATATAGTTTAATATTTTAAAGATTAAATGTATGCAAATTTAATATATGTCATCCTAAAGGAGACTAATAATGTACCTTCCAACAATTTATATTAATACGTTGATTTGTATTACCTTCTTACATAGGTTGAGGAATATGTTTTTTTTTTCTTGTTTCTGTTTAATATGCAACATGGATTTCAAAATGTAACTTGTAGAGATTTGTGTATTATTGTATCCATGTAAATAACAATAGTATATTTTTCAATGATTACAGCTAGCAGTGCAAACAAAGGTCCAATATATGTTTGAACTGTTGCATTTTTATGTTTTTTTTTTGTTAGAGTTTTATAAATGTATATATATATAGGGTGAATCGAAAATCATATTATAATCTAGAAAGATTTGATTTCTTGATTAAAATGATCATTTAGTATTATTTACTTTTAATCAAGAAATTATTTCCATCTTGATTGTATTCTATATTCGAAACATCCTATATATTTATATATAATTTATATATATATGTATATATGCGTATTAAGATACTATCCCGCAATTCTATTTTACAAATGTATATACATATACTTTTCTCTATAAAAAAACCGATCAATTTTCTATATGATTATATATGTTAAATACTTTTTTGTTTGTTTGTTAGAAAAGACAATATATTTAACAGCTTCCTTATCCAAAAAAAAAAAAAAGAAAAAGAAAATATATATATATATATAAAAGATGACTTACTCCAGGTCATTACTTTTCCTTATAACAATGTAAAATATAAAAAAATCAAATAATACATTACGACATAATTATATAATACTCCAACTTAAAATACGACATTTGTATACCGCTTTGTGAGATGTTATATTGTATATTTTGCATATGTTATATTTTTGTATACGTGATTGTTTAATCCCTATTATATTTCCAAACACCAAGTTAGTAACATGATCCAGTTAGAAAGATTCTTTTTTAAACTTGAGATATATATCTTATAGTATGATTTTTAAAATCAAAATGATTAAAAATGATGCGCATATATGCAGCCTTATATTGATGATAACAAACAAGACCTTTCTTTTTTTTTTAATTATTGAGATTAAAAGAGATCGGAGAATACATTTTGACAAATGCATTAATATAAAACATAATCAATTGTATAATACTCACATATTAAATATCGGAAGACAAATACATTTTGCTTTAAAAAAAAATGAAAAATAGAGTAACACTTTTTGTTTTGTTTTATCATACGTAATAGGCACTTATTACGTTGACATCTATAAAACTCCATCCGATAGTAGGATAGAAATTATATACTTTTTTTTCCGTAGCCAGAACACACTTTCTTTTCTTTAAACTACACAGTCTGTCTCTTATCTAAAATGTACAGAGGCGCGGACAACAGATAAATATTTAAATATTAAAACAAGTTACCAATTTGTAAATTACTTTGATAATATCATACACAATATTATTATATACCAGGCCCTTTATATAAAAGTTTTCAAGAAATGCAAGAATGCATTGGCTGTGATTTCAATGGAAGTATTTGTTCCAATTATTATTTATATTCATCGGTAGTAATTTAAATTAACTTTGCATGATAAATGTAATATTCTGTTATATAATATACAATAAAACCTTCTAATGACATAATAATAGGAGCTAATACTTGTTATAGAAACTCTTGTTACCCTGTTCCTAATGCAAGTGTGTTAATTTAATAAACGTATATATATATATATGTTACGTCTGATTTCTTATGGCACGAATATAAACAAACAATGTGCTATTTTATTGTGCAATTCATAGAAATGCTTATTTTCGGAATATTCTTGTATATATATATATATATTATGTTTATGTATATTACTATTATAATTATTATTATATATATATATATTTTTTTTTTGACATACTGTCATAAAATCGATATTCTGGTGTTATATGGAACTGCATTGTTAAACGTCAACAACGTCGTTGTCATAATTAAAATTTGAATCACGTAAAAAAGAAGTGCGACGAAGTTTAAAGTTGAATGAAGAATCTTCAACCGTTTTCGGCACTTCCGTTACCTGAAATTGATAAATATAATGTAAAATAAAATAATCAAAATGTTATTAAATTAATAATAATTTCTACATACATTTCAATATGATAAAATAAATGAAGCAGAGATTTTCAAGGCATGGTTAAAAAAGAAAATAAAAAAAACACAAAGAAAGAAAGATTAAATGTTACATTAAATATACATGATAGGCATAATAAGAAATCAAATTTTAGCAAATATACAGTATATAGTATATAGCTTAAAATATGATATATAAAAAGCTAAAGGAATTTTCAAGGAATGAACAGTATTGTAAGATATTTACTAAATATACTTTGACATATACAGCTGTCTTCTTTCTTCAGAAGTATAGAAAAGAGAAAGAAATAAATGTCGTAAAGTACCTTGGTAACTGGTCGGTCAGCAGAACGTTGAAGCACCGACCTCCATGGTGCAGGTGTGCTATTCTCTAAAATAATATATACAGCAAGGCTCATGAATTTAAGGCATGTCATGCATTTCCAAACTATTTTAAAGCTTGTAAGAAAAAAAAAATGAATATTTTATAACGGTTAACAGTGATGTTCGAATCGAGCAGTGTATGCAGGGTTACAATACACCGAACGATCATGCATCTTATAAAAATGTTTGATTTTACCATTTTCTTTCTTGTCAGCCTTTCCTTTATTTAAACTAGCAGCCAATTCCCTGACCGATCTTTTCTCTACACTCGTGTTGCTCAATGAACTTGCTGTACTGCTTGCAGATAATGTAGGTGGTAATGATGCAGGACCACTAACACCACTATCAGTTGATTCGTCAAGAGCATCACCGGAGTCAGGTGTATTTCCTGCAGATGTATTTGGACTGGACCCATCACTTAATAAGCTAAATTCACCTGTGATTTAGATATTTAATTTATTACAATAAATTTGTTAAACAATTTGTCTATTTGAAAAATAATCGAGTAGAAAATAAGTATGGAAAAATATACCAGATTTCCTATCAGCAGCCATGCTCCATGGTCGTGGTTTTGGTGCTGTAGCAGGAGGAATAGGTTTATTTTTTAAATGAGCACCATTATTTTTTCCATCGCTACTAGAATTATTTCCTTTAACAGATTTTAATATTGGTGACTTAGATGATTCAGATGAATTTTTGGTGTTGCTGCCATTGGTCGGACTTCGAAGATCAAAACCAGTAGAACGTAATTTAACAGAAGACATTGCTTGTGCGCTAGATTTATCCTTTTCTAATGACGAATTCGTATTATTTTGTAATTGTAATATTTTTCCACAGTCTTCCCGAGATGTTGGAATCGATCCAATATTTGGTAAAGTATTTCGTTTGGAAGAATCAACGGAAGTACTCATAATACTGTTATTATACGTATCCTTACTACTATCACATCTAGACATTACTCTATCATGTCCTTGAGCATTATCTGTTGTATTTCGACGAGCTAAAGGAGATGCAGTTAATGGCGAATCACCTTGTGAACGTCTTCCTACCAGCGGAGAAAATTTTTCTAAATTATCGCTAGACCTTGAACGTGGTGTTGGTTCAAGTAATGTTTTTAACATCGGTGAATTACATCCATGCTTTTTATCTAGATCAGGTGGTATACTTTTATGACTCGCCAAAGATAAATTTGGACTTCCATCCGTTGGAAATGTATGTAAAGAACTACAAATACAACATTCAAATGAAATTACACAAAAGACTAATATCAAAGATTATTATAAAGATATTTTATTTTATAATACCTATCATCGCTCGTAGGCGATATAAGTGGTGTAGTTGGTGTTGTAGGCCGGAAAAATACATCTAATCCTTCACCAAGAGCTAAACCATCTACAGGTTGATCTGGTCTTAACATTGGTCTTGTGGGTGCTCTAGTTTTTGTTCTTCGTGGTCTAGATTTAACTAAATGTTGTAATTGTTGACCCACTGTATTAGGTAATTCTGAGACAGAATCTAACGATTCTGTCAAGGAATGTTCAGTTTCTGAAATAGCTGTGAAAAAAGTTATGTAAAACTGTATACATTCAAAATTTATTATATATTGTTAAATTATATATAAAAACAAACCTTCTGCCTGACTTTTTGGCAGTGATGGAAGTAAATCAGGTATATCGTCTGCTGACAATCCTTCTACAGAATCTACTACCGATTTTGGTCTTAATTTTCTCCCATGTAAACTTTTCCTTTTATTAGATAAATGTGGAGTTGCCTGAATAAAAAAAAAATAATGCAATGTAAAAGTTTTAAAATAGAAGAAATATTTCAATGATTGTTAACCATTAATGTAAGATTATATAATAATTATGTATTATTAATTTTTTAATTTTTTTGTTTACCATACTTACAAGATTCAAATAATCCAATTTCTAGTCAGACATAGGAAAAGTAACGACAATTATATTATTAATAAAAACTATCTTAACAATAATATACATACATAGAAATATTGATTGAATTCAATTCAATTGAATGACAATTACCATTGGGGATTGTTCACTGGAACAATGGCTAAGAGAATTTTCCAAGGAATACGTTTCTGGAGGACACTCAACTTCTGAAATAAGACTAGTCCTTCCACCATGCAATGTCATAGAAACACCAGTAGCACTTGTAACACCAATAACACTTCCACTACTCATGGAACCTGCACTTGGTCGTAATACATCTGGAGTACTACTTCTTGTTCGACTGTCACAATCTCCAATCTATGAATAAAAATGATATTACAATATATACCAAATATATAAACAATAAATCACTCACCAAAGTCTTGTAACTACGTGACAAAGATTCGATTACTTCATCAGTGGTTCTATCAGATACATACGCAGCAACTGCTAAATTTAACTCACTACGAAAACAAATGTTTTTTTTTTCATTAATTTAGTTTACGTTAGATATGTCAGAAGTACAGACACAAATATATTAACACAGTACAATAATAAGATAAAATAAGCTTACTTGACTCTATTAATAATATCAGCACCAGCTTGTTCTGTAATAGTGGTATGAATAAATTCTGTGCTTATATGATTTTTCTCCTTACAAATATTACGAACATCATCCTCTACAGCAATAGGTTCGCTTTCATCTCCTCTAATTACTGTTTGTGAGAGTATAGTTGGACATTGTTCATTTGCACATTTAAGCATTGCATCTAATGAATCCTATATACAAAAACATTATTCTTTATTATATAAATTGTTCATTTAAATGATTTATAGTCTGATTAACTGTTTAATAAAAAATACCTCTAAGTACATAGTAACAACTTTGTGAAGTTCGCTTGCCATATCGTGTAATTTTAATTCAATTGGATTATTTTCATCTCTTCTTTGTAGTACTTCGTGTAATCTTGGAAGAAGCTATTAATAATACATATATTAGATTATTCATAAGTTTATATTTGATTGTAATGCTTTGTTTTGTAGATACCTGTTTAGAATTATCAGCATCTTGTATTAGACCGGTAGCATAATTAATGTCATTATTTGCATCACAGCTTTCTGCAGCTATAGCTTTTATAGTATCCTGAGTTTGAACGACAAGTCTATCGACCATCTGTTGTGTAGAACTTAACAAGAAACCTTGCTGAAGTCTAAATGCTTGTCCATGACTGTATTTACATGGTGTTACATTTCTCTGCAGTAAATCTTGAATTTTTTTAGCTAATTGCTCTGTTTTTTCAGCAGACGTTTTCATACACGGTTGTAGATCAAAAATTGGAAATGGCATATGCCTGACGCTACAATTTCTGTAATTAAATAAAAGATATAAATATAATTTAGAAAATAAATATATTAATTAATAATTATATAGTAAAATAAATTTACTTCTCCAAAGCATGCACGATATCAGCATAACCTTGAAGCGTAATATTATTTTTATCATAAATGATGGTCCTTAAATGGTTATTGATTTGTAATGCTTTGGCTAATAATCTTGCACCAGGATCACCAATTTGATTTCCACTTATGTCTAATGTATGAAGACAGGTATTACTTCCTAAAGCGTTAATCAAATTATAGAGATCAGATTTAAGACGAGAATCAGGTATATGTAATGCTTGTAAAACGCAATCATCCTCTTGGAGCATTTGGACCAAAGCATCCATTACAACGGCAATGTGTTTGCTTTTCATGCCAGTTGTATTTCGACCCATATATAATTGTTTGATAGATTTGTTTTTACCTATGGCTGTTATTACTTGCGCTAAATCAACATCCATATCTAAAAACATACGTCATTTATGTAAGACAAAAAATGTGATTATCAAATAACAGTTATTAATTCACAGAATTTAGAACGTACGTACTGCTGTCCGAAATATCCAATGATGCTATGCATCTTACACCATGTATACATGATTCCAAAACATGAGCACCCATAGAACCTAAATTATTTCCACTCATATCAAGTTCTAAACCTACTGTACTTTCATTACATGCCAATCCAAGTAACAAATGTTTTAATGCCTCCAGAGGTAATTTACAGAATGAGATGTTTAAGTACTTTAATGAAAGTGTCGCTGTAAAAAATTGCTTAAAACTGGGAGGTATTTCTTTGGTCTTTTTACTTGAAAAAGAATTGCGAGCAACGTTTAGATGGACTAGATTAGTTGCACAACCTCGCAATAAAGCACCAAATAGCTATAAAAAGAATTAATATGAATAATAAATTCCCAAATTTAAGGGGAAGGGAAGAAAAAAGACAAATATTTTAAATTTAACAATTTATACTTACACATTCTAAGGTTGTATCTGTACCACTAAGATCTAAATGTGTTAAACTATTAGGCTGTGCCAGAAAGTTACATAAATTCTGTAATTAAATTATATCTTGATTAGATAAAGATATTTAATAGAAGTGTAATAGATTATGCAATATATAAACTTACATTAATATCATCTTTCAAAGTATTTTCTGAAAGATTTAAGTATTGCAGACTAGTTGGCATACTCCTATTTAAACTTAATGCATGTGCTATTTGACCAATGCCTTTTCCAGTTAATCCACAATGAGCCAAATTTAATTTTTGTAATCCTTTAGGTAATTTTCCAATAGGGCCACTTAAATGTGTAGCTCCTTAAAATATAAATAATCATAAATATTTTAGAATTAATTTTACATACATTTCAATCATCATATTGTGTAGCTCAGCCACCAATAACCTTTTTACTGTAGTTTATATTATCTCATATAAATTGCTAAAAATGTAAGAACATAATATATAGTTGTATTACTATGTGTGAAATAGTAAATTAAAAAACTTATAAAAAAAAACATAAATAATTATATAGCATATAAGTTAGTTCTAACTACTATTGCAAATTGTGAAACATGCATACAATTTTGTTGTTTATAACATATATTAAATTAAATACAATGATTATATAACATTGCAACAAACTACATTATTGTGCAATAAATACTATCAATAAATATTAATTGTAATAAAAATATGTGGTTATTTGCACACCTTGCATTAACTTGGCAATTATCCCACACAAGCTAGATGCTCCTACAAAAATATAAAATTCATACAGAGGGATTCCAGTACACATAAATAAATATTGGGAAGATCAATGCACAAAAATGGGTGTACTAAAACATAAGCTGCAGATAGAAAATATCAGTGCCTGGATGAAACTTGCCTTTGTCCTCGATCATATTATGTGACAAATCTATTGTCTGTAACATTGTATTAGCATTAGAAATCAAGGCTAATGACAATTTGTGTGCAAAATCCCTATAAACGGAAATCTAATGTTTATAAGTGTTTTCAAAAGGGATATTTTCTACTCATCGTTTCATTCATATTCTTACCATTTAACTCCAAGATTATCCAAATAGAGTTCTTGAATAGACAATGACCTACGCATAACATGCAATAATCTTTCAAGTGGTTCATGGCTTAACTTAAGATGCGACGCTCTCAACTTAGTAAACCATGTATTATATTCCAAGGCTGATATTATCGGTACCAAATCTTTTTGATCTAAATGGTCAAAATCCCTTAAGTTAAGTTCTCTGGTATCGTGGGATAAATATATTGTGTCTACATCCTAAAATTGATATTATCAGTATAGAAATTACATATAGATATTTTTTATTCTATTATATATGATTTATTGTTACACAAGAGTATGATTAATCTTACCCAAGCAACTTCTTCTCTATATGGTACACCATGTAAATCGCACATACACGCATATTGAGTGGAAAAACCACCACAAGGCCCAGTGTGTCTTGTTGCTTCCGTGCTCCTGGCTAATTCACTACCTCTTATGGTTTGTAATCTGCTTGCTGGGATTACCTCTATCTTTCTTATAATATAACTGTTAAATAATATATAAATATATATGTACTTAATGTATACAATATATTGATAAATAATTATATTTTATTTGATAAATATATACTTTAATGGTACTGTAGGAAAGATATTGCGAATAGCAGTATGTAAGGCCTCGATCATTGCATCGACTTCGGTAGTATCTGCACCCACACTGGTTGTAGTAAAATTGTAAAATCTTTCTCCTACAGTTAAACATAATTGGTTTGCTCTTTTGGATTCTATAGATACTATTTCTAAGTAATGGAAGTGGCAGTCGATCTGTAATTAAATATTATTTCTTAAATTTAGATTATTATAATTATTTTAATTTTAAGAAATATAAATTTACCCTTGTGGGTACTTTGGCCGTTAAAAGAAAAAGACGGCATGGTGAAAATACCTGAAATAAAAGATATTAATGAATCAGTGATAATAAGTTTAGATTGCCGAATTAGTTAAAATCTAATACTCACAAGAACGCGGTTTTCTTGCTTATCCTGCTTGGTTTCTAACTTGACAACATTTTTTAGTAGTATCTTGACATGCTTACCAAGTAATGCTTTCACCGATTCTGTAAATAATTAATTATTCGTGACGTTACATATGCAATAATACATTAATTTAGAATTACAAGATATAAATATTTTAATTGCAAAAGAATATACATATATATGCACATTATGATATATATATATATTCTTATATGTAAAGTATATATATATATATATACTTTAATGGTACATATATATGTATATATATATCATAATGTGCATATATATATATAAATAGGAATCGTATTTTGGAATAACAAAATTGAATAAAAATATATGTCAACATAGAAGAAAAATTTCCTGCAATGAATCACCGGTCTTTTGGATCACCCGCATGTATCTATACGAGAGATGACAGATCACTGATTTATGCGAACGTAAACATTGGGAACGAGACTAACCGTTTAAATCCTTAGTGAGTTGCGATCTCGTTGACATTTTGCTAAAGTTAATATGCTTTCCATATATCCTGAGCCATTTAAGACATTGTTTTTCTTGTCACTTTATTTCCACTGCTTTAATAAGCACTTAAAACGATATCATTATACAGGGCGATGTCGCACAAGTCCAGAGCGCAACAATCGCCATGTTGGCACCTGCCTGCTGTCCATTGATTCCATACCATTCCGTTCCGTTCCTTTCGTTTCTTCCTTTCATACAATTCATTATGGCTGTTCACCACCTTGCGACTACAGCGACATATGTGGACAAGATTTGAACTATAAGCATAACAAGAGATAACTGTACCCACCATGCACTTATTGCATTGGTGCATACACTTGAATAGAATAAAGTATTAGCTTGAACTCACACTTTCCAATTCCTCGTCTTTATGTTAGATAAGATGCAGGATCGAAAAAATTTTGATTAACGTTAAATCTATTAATAAATAGATAGATAGTCATCACTTATAATATTTATATATATTGTAAATTAAATAAAAGAATAAATGCAATATGAATTTGCATTAATATGCAAATGCATTTAAAGAGTTTAAAAAGTTTTACATTTGAAGTAGACTTTTAATGAGTAATATAAAGTAAATATAAAATCATATTTAGTTTTTATGTGTACCTTCAGAAATGCCATTATACATATATATTTTAAAAATTTGCAATTATAGAAACTCAAGTAGAAGAAAGTCGCAAAGAAGTTTGTTGTTAAATCCAACGAAGATCACCTGTAACAAAAAGAAAACTATATTAATCATTCAATCGAGTGATATGAAGTAGCCTAACATATAAATCGTCCAATTCGTAGATGCACTTTTCAATTGAATTCTTTATCTATTTATATCAAATATCTATTTACCGTAGCAATAAAATTAAATTTAAACGCGTGATTTTACATTTAGAAAAAATAAAAAAAAATAAACAAGTAAAAGTACAAATATTAAGTTACTAAAGAAAATAATATCTATTATAATTATTATAGAATATTTTAAAACTGCATTATAAAGAAAAGAAAAGATTACAAATGTAATAAAATGCGATCAAAGTGAAAAATCTTAAAGACAAAAAAAAGAGAGATTACTTTAATATTCAAAAGACGATAATTATGTTTC